CCTTAAATCGGTCATTTGATCAAGATAATTTTCTCAGATGAACTGACAGTTCTATTTGATGTAAACAGTCAGGGGCATTACTTAAACAAGTAACATTTAAAAATACCTATACAAGTAATGTTGAAAACGAGGCTATTTTAAATATTACTTATATAAGTAACTTTTTTAAATATTATTTTTATAGGTGTCCAACTATACAGATTTTACTAGCTTTAACAAATTATCACGGTCATCTGGTTATTTTTCCCATGAAATATAAACTCTAATCTTTCTGAAACACTTATTGTCTTTCTGACGCACTTATCTTTCATATCGACGCTTTTGGGTCAAAGATTGGTCTCTTGTGACTATTACAATATCATTTTCCTCAAAAATCTTGAAGGTAGACAGATATAAATACTAGATAGAAACTTGTGATTTAAGTAAGACTTGGAATTATTTATAATTTGTAACCGAAAACACTTACATATGTTCCTTAAATAAGTGTTATTACTAATTCTTTCACAGATGTATAAAATAACTTATTCAAGTAATATTTTTGTCATTATTTTTAAAGTAAGCGTTTATCTCTATACTCCTCTAAAATCTAATAAATTCTTCATTTTATGATATTAAATGATGTAAAAATTCATGAAAACTACATTTAGTCCATGCTTCTGTTGAAATTTAAAATAACTCCATTGAGTAATTTTATAATTTTTAAAAACAAAAATTACCTATATAAGGAACTAACAAAAATTACTTGTTTAAGTAATGCCCCTGACTGGTAAACATGAACAAACATAGCTTTGTTGAACAGTTTACATTTTTCAGTTAATTTAACCACTTTTTGGATAATTGTATTAGATGAAACCTTAAATCGACCATATTTGATAGAAATTGTATGAATGTAACACCAAACCTGTCATCGGTGTATTTATATTTTTTTTCACATTTTACTGTAAATTTAACAGCTTTGTTGGTAATTATAGTGATGTTACCTTAAATCGGTCATTTGATCAAGATGATTTTCTTTTATGTATTGACAATTGTATTAAAAGGAAACTTGAACCAACAACAGCTTTATTAAAAAAATCCAACATCTTACAGTAATTTTTGCCACTCTTTGGATAATTAATTCAGATATTACCTTAAATCGACCATATTTTAAAGATAATTGTATAGAATGTAACACCAAACCTGCCATCGGAGTATTGATAATTTTTCCACATTTTACTATAAATTTTCAGTTTTTTTGATAATTACATTTGATGTTACCTTAAATCGGTCATTTGATCAAGATAATTTTCTCAGATGTACTGACAGTTCTATTAGATGTAAACATGAACCAACATAGCTTTGTTGAACAGTTTACATTTTTCAGTTAATTTAACCACTTTTTGGATAATTGTATTAGATGAAACCTTAAATCGACCATATTTGATAGAAATTGTATGAATGTAACACCAAACCTGTCATCGGTGTATTTAAATTTTTTTTCACATTTTACTGTAAATTTGACAACTTTTTTGATAATTGTATTTGATGTTACCTTAAATCGGTCATTTGATTGAGATAATTTTCTAATATGTTTCGACAATTGTATTCGAATTCAAATTAAACCAACCACAGCTTTATTAAAAAATTGCATTATTTTTCAGTAAATTTTACCACTTTTTGGATAAATCATTCAGAAGTGACCTTAAACCGACCATATTCGAAAGATAATTGTATAGAATGTAATAACAAACCTGCCATCGGTGTATTGATAATTTTCCACATTTTACTGTAAATTTGACAACTTCTCTGATTATTATATTTGATGTTACTTTCAATCGGTCATTTGTTCCATATCATTTTCTGAGATGTACTGTCAGTTGTATCAGATGACGAACCACAGCTTTGTTGAAAATTTTACAATTTTGAATTACTTCAACCACTTTTTGGATAATTGTATTAGATGAAACTTCAAATTGACCATATTTTATAGATATTTGTATAAAATGTAACACCAAACCTGTCATCAGTGTATTGATAATTTTCCACATTTTACTGTAAATTTGACAACTGTTTTGATAATTGTATCTCAAGTTACCTCGAATCGGTCGTTTGATCAAGATAATTTTCTAATATATTTTGACAATTGTTTTAGAAATAAGCTTGAACCAACCACAGCTTTATTAAAAATATTACAACATTCTCCAGTAAATTTTGCCATTTTTTGGATAATTCATTCAGATGTTACATAAAATCGACCATATTCTAAAGATAATTATATAGAACGTAACACCAAACCTGCCATCAGTCTATTGATAATTTTTCCATATTTTACTGTAAATTTAACAGCTTTGTTGATAATTATATTTGATGTTACCTTAAATCGGTCATTTGATCAAGATGATTTTCTTTTATGTATTGACAATTGTATTAAAAGGAAACTTGAACCAACAACAGCTTTATCAAAAAAATCCAACATCTTACAGTAATTTTTGCCACTCTTTGGATAATTAATTCAGATATTACCTTAAATCGACCATATTTTAAAGATAATTGTATAGAATGTAACACCAAACCTGCCATCGGAGTATTGATAATTTTTCCACATTTTACTATAAATTTTCAGTTTTTTTGATAATTACATTTGATGTTACCTTAAATCGGTCATTTGATCAAGATAATTTTCTCAGATGTACTGACAGTTCTATTAGATGTAAACATGAACCAACATAGCTTTGTTGAACAGTTTACATTTTTCAGTTAATTTAACCACTTTTTGGATAATTGTATTAGATGAAACCTTAAATCGACCATATTTGATAGAAATTGTATGAATGTAACACCAAACCTGTCATCGGTGTATTTAAATTTTTTTTCACATTTTACTGTAAATTTGACAACTTTTTTGATAATTGTATTTGATGTTACCTTAAATCGGTCATTTGATTGAGATAATTTTCTAATATGTTTTGACAATTGTATTCGAATTCAAATTAAACCAACCACAGCTTTATTAAAAAATTGCATTAGTTTTCAGTAAATTTTACCACTTTTTGGATAAATCATTCAGAAGTGACCTTAAACCGACCATATTCGAAAGATAATTGTATAGAATGTAATAACAAACCTGCCATCGGTGTATTGATAATTTTCCACATTTTACTGTAAATTTGACTACTTCTCTGATTATTATATTTGATGTTACTTTCAATCGGTCATTTGTTCCATATCATTTTCTGAGATGTACTGTCAGTTGTATCAGATGACGAACCACAGCTTTGTTGAAAATTTTACAATTTTGAATTACTTCAACCACTTTTTGGATAATTGTATTAGATGAAACTTCAAATTGACCATATTTTATAGATATTTGTATAAAATGTAACACCAAACCTGTCATCAGTGTATTGATAATTTTCCACATTTTACTGTAAATTTGACAACTGTTTTGATAATTGTATCTCAAGTTACCTCGAATCGGTCGTTTGATCAAGATAATTTTCTAATATATTTTGACAATTGTTTTAGAAATAAGCTTGAACCAACCACAGCTTTATTAAAAATATTACAACATTCTCCAGTAAATTTTGCCATTTTTTGGATAATTCATTCAGATGTTACATAAAATCGACCATATTCTAAAGATAATTATATAGAACGTAACACCAAACCTGCCATCAGTCTATTGATAATTTTTCCATATTTTACTGTAAATTTAACAGCTTTGTTGATAATTATATTTGATGTTACCTTAAATCGGTCATTTGATCAAGATGATTTTCTTTTATGTATTGACAATTGTATTAAAAGGAAACTTGAACCAACAACAGCTTTATTAAAAAAATCCAACATCTTACAGTAATTTTTGCCACTCTTTGGATAATTAATTCAGATATTACCTTAAATCGACCATATTTTAAAGATAATTGTATAGAATGTAACACCAAACCTGCCATCGGAGTATTGATAATTTTTCCACATTTTACTATAAATTTGCAGCTTTTTTGATAATTATATTTGATGTTACCTTAAATCGGTCATTTGATCAAGATAATTTTCTCAGATGTACTGACAGTTCTATTAGATGTAAACATGACCAACATAGCTTTGTCTAACAGTTTACATTTTTCAGTTAATTTAACCACTTTTTGGATAATTGTATTAGATGAAACCTTAAATCGACCATATTTGATAGAAATTGTATGAATGTAACACCAAACCTGTCATCGGTGTATTTATATTTTTTTTTCACATTTTACTGTAAATTTGACAACTTTTTTGATAATTGTATTTGATGTTACCTTAAATCGGTCATTTGATTGAGATAATTTTCTAATATGTTTTGACAATTGTATTCGAATTCAAATTAAACCAACCACAGCTTTATTAAAAAATTGCATTATTTTTCAGTAAATTTTACCACTTTTTGGATAATTCATTCAGAAGTGACCTTAAATCGACCATATTCGAAAGATAATTGTATAGAATGTAATAACATATATTGATAATTTTTCCACATTTTTCTGCGCAGTGATGTCAAGGCAATTTCGCCGAATTTCGCGGACTTTTTGTCAGGGGTAGGTAACTCCGCAATTACCTCATTATATATTCATCAATGGCGGATTCCGTAAGCAGTGTCCATCGATAAAATTGTTGAATACAAATTGCATGCGTGCACGCGGAAAAAAAAGGGATACTGGTATGATGTCATTTGATTATTAAAACACGATTACGGCATTTTTGTGCTGAAACTGTATTATAAATGGTTACAATAGATGTTTGTATTGCTGGGATTAGACCCCGCCCTACTTCCGAGAAGCAACCAATCAGAAGCCGATCGCCGTCTTTAGATGCTTGAAGTTTGCAGAATAGAAAGCACCTTGCCTGAACCCTGACAGAAGTAAGTGACAGCTACAAAATATGTAAGCATTAATGAATGTAAGTTGTTTACTTTGTATTTCATTCATTTCAGTAGACGACAAGAGGTAGGGAATTAGAAAAAACGAGTTTTGCTTCATGGCAATCATGCTACACGTGGTCAGATCAACAGGGGGGAAATATATAAAAAGGTATAATTGACTCCCTTTTTTAAATTAATAGAGTAGCGGATGAAATAAATGTGTATACTAGTGTTTCTACCACTTGCATTCCCGATTGTCAAGACACCATTCACAGCGTTGCTCTGTTGCTTCGTGAAAATTGTTCCATTTTTGTGTGTGCACCTAGCTTGTCCATATTCAGGTAATCATGTCTGGTGATCAATTTATATTTTTATGATCCAGTAACAAAAATTAAATCGGCCTATCAAGATATCATAGATTAGAAGTAAACATGGTAAAATAGCCTTTCAAAGTCATAATTAATTGGACTGGAGGAGGATTAATTACCCCCCCCCCCCCTATTTTCAACATGTTCAACCATGCCTAGACAAAACCCTGTCTTATTCTGTATGTGCTTCTCTGAAGTCAGGAGCTGACTGTTGTTGCCAATATCATATTTGTTCTTTTGTAGTCGTGTTGATAAATCAGGCTGTCAGTTTTCTTGTTTGAATTATGTTATGTTTTGTTTTGTCTGGGCCTTACTTATTTTAGTATACTAGCTTGCTATGAATTATGGGTTTTGTTCATTGTTGAATGCATTATTGGAACCAATAGTTACTTATATTTACTTCATTTGGTCTCTGATGGATAGGCCAGTCTCATTGGCAATCTGGCAGTGATAACATATTGTCCTAGTCCTAATAATTATGATGTCTTGCAAGGCTATTTTAATTTTTTTCTGGGACACCCAGAAAAAAAATTAAAATAGCCTTGCAAGACATCATAATTATTTTGACTAATGTTATCCTTACTTTATTTCCATGTGTGTACACATAACTGCCAGATGAATATTTAGTGCCTTCAAGATCCACAGTGAAATAGGTAAGATGAGGGTTGATCCCAGAGCATGCAAAAATGAATAAAGTTAATACACAACATTTGTTATGTGCCTGTCTAAACCTGGGAGTCTGTAATTAAGTGTTGTCCTTATATTACAAATTTTTAGCTCACTATATGGTATGGGAATGACTCAGGAATGATTCCTTTACACACAGTGATATTATGAGCTGCTGGAATAGGTAGTCTGCACCAAAAACTTTTCTGACTACTAGTAAAGAAGACCAGTATTCCGACATTTTATTTATGTGTCTAAGCAAAGTTTTTCAAAAACTTGATAGTTCATATAAAATTTTTACTTGTCTAGGGCATCAGCCTAGCAGTCACTGAATAAGTCTTTCTCCAGCTTGAGAATACATGTATGTGAATAGGTGTGGAAAAATATCAAAAATATAAAATAAGGTCATTAAAAACTTCCAATGGCTTGTATATATTTGTATGACAAGCCCTGTCATTTTTTTCAGAAGTCTTGCTGTAAGTAAATATTTTACTTCCAGAATCTTAGCCAAAAATATTCCACTGAAAACTCAACCAACATGACCAATATGGGAAAAAGTTACATTTTTTAAGATCCTAATTATATGATAAGGGTGGGGTAACAGAATCGCAATGGCACCCCACCCCCTATCAATTAAGTATTGAAGTGGTCCCCTCGAGGGAAATTATGAGTTTGTCTTATGATGGACTTGTGAAGGCCTTGCAGTGATCGATATTTGCCTCATTGGCGATCATACAACATCTCCTTATTTTTCTATATATTCTTATTGTTACAATCATATGACAATGTACCTTTTTTTCTATAATATTATAGATTAATAATATCTGTTCTGTAAAAAAAGAGGGGTGCTTACTGCTACAATCTATCAAACTACATGTAGGTTAAGATGGGAAAATTATTGAGTAGAATATCCACTTTTTTAACATTTTAATTATTACATTCTACTTTCATTTCTCGTCAAGTTTTAAAAAGTGGATTTTCTATACTCCGAAAGATCGTTGATCATAGTAAGTATGAAAATATAGAAAAAAACGCTTATTTATTCATGCTATTAGTGTTCATAGGTACGGATGGCCGAAAAATGTATAAAAAATATAAAAAAAAATAAATAGTAAAATACCAAAATCAACAAAAAGCAAATAGAAATTAAGAAATATATACATGTATGCATTTAATATAGGGACAGAAGAAATCAGTCTACCAGTTAAACTACAAACCCTACTGTTTAGTCTCAATAATAGCCTACCATAAAGTTTTTTTTTTTTTCATTTTTCATTAAGCACTGTCTAAGTCGGAATGTTGCTCCCATAGACTCGAAAATATTTGAAAAAAAAACACCATAAAATTATGAAAAATCACGACCAATATACCCTAGCTTTTTTTTTTTTTTACATGTAACTGGAACCGCACATGTACTATTTTATTTGGCCTTATTTGATACATACAAAAATTAGCATCCGTAGTAGCATATGGTCCAAAACGGTGAAAAAGGGGGATGGTTATTTGCATGTAAAACTGGTTTAAGAGTCCTTCCTTCAACTATCATGGTCTAGACGAAACTTTAATGAACCAATAAGCTTCATAATAAACAGTTCATTAATCAGAGAAGTGTTGTTAATTATATTATAAATGAAAACAAAACTGTTAGTTTCAGTGCTGGATCCAGGAATTTTTATAAGTGGGGTCCACTGACTGCCTAAGACATGTAAGAGGGGGCCCTCTCAGGTCAATCGTCAGTGATTCCATTGTATAATGAACCAAATTTTTCACTGAAAAGGGGGAAACTTCCTTTGCGTGTGTGCAAATTGCAATTTTTATACTGTAAATTAAGAAATTGTGGAGTGATTCTATTTATGCAAATAATAGGTCTTGATGAGTACGACTATCTCATTAATATAAGGACTCCAATCTCCTAACTGATTCATATATGACATGTACACAGCTCTTTCTAAAAATTTTAATAATTAATCTCGCATTTTGTCTGGCATCATTTAGCAGTGAAAATATAGCAAAATTGCCCTCTAGATGTCCTTTGAATGTTTTGTTGGATTTCTATCTCCTTGATCTATGCAGTCGGGGGGGGGGGGGGGGGGGGGGGGGTCGGATAGGTCCTGATCCCGAGGTCCCGAATTTAAAGAAATTTAAATCCCGAAATTCGAAAAAAGAATTCCCGGATCCCGAAAGTATCAATCCCAAAATCCCAAGCTTAAAAACAACTGGAGTCCCAATAAAGGTCAGATCCCCCCCACCAGTATGCTCCTTTTATTCATATCTTTTTCAATTGAATTGCTTTACATTTGTCATTTGACATGTTTGAGGCCTTACACACATGTAGCTTATGTACAAGCAGGACCTGCTTACCCTTCCGGAGCACCTGAGATAAACAAGTTTTTGGTGGGGTTCGTGTTGCTTAGTCTTTAGTTTTCTATATTTTGTCATCTGTACTATTATTTGTCTGTTTGTCTTTTTATATTTGGCCATGGTGTTGTGAGTTTGTTTTCGATCTATGAGTTTGACTGTCCCTCTGGTATCTTTCGTCCCTCTTTTATGCTGTATGGGTTTTTCTCAATGTGGCCACACTGTGACCTATAGTTAAATTGAGAACTTCTCTGTGAATTGGTTTTTTTTACTGAGAATTAGCATGCCACATCTTCTGATTTTATATGTTTATATTATACAAATATCACTAATAACAATTTTATTGTGTTACAAAACTATTTCAATATTTTAAATACAAGTAATACTAAATTCAAAATTCATTTGTAAATTTTGGGCCACTAATTCTTCCAGATGAGTAAAGGTCTGATTTGACTTGTCCATGACGAGTACTCTTACTACATATTCTAATGCAATTATTTTGTATCAATGGTTCTGATTGGATGACAGTAAGAGTAAAATTCTCTATCTTATTGTCTGTAACTAAGGAAGCCGACATTTTGAATTGCGGAATGTATTGACATGCAATTTCTACAATAATAAGCAAAACACCCACTTGTTGCACCTAGAAATTTTTCTTTTTATCAAATTTTATTACATTCTGAAGCGGTCAAGAAGCCAGAAACCGCCCGGTTTTTACGTTTGACGCCGGAAGCATACCTATGATGTCACCTAGTTTAGGGGCCAAAGAAGATAACATCTTTTCGCAGAATTTTCTTAAATGAAAGTTTTACACTGAAATAATGATTGAAATTGAATTATGTACTTGTTTTGATTAGAATAGAAATAACTGTATTGTATTTGAAGCTTTGCGGACGTCCATCAGTAGTTTTACTGTCGCAAATACCCGTTTATCTGTCTCCGCTACGCGTTCGCCAGGTAAACTAAATTTTCGACAGTAAAACTACCGATGGACGTCCGCAAAGCTTCAAATACAATACAGTTATCTCTTAAGTATGGTTTCAGCTCATTGTCGAAGGATGTATATTTACCTCTAATTGATTAAATTCATGTCATTTGGATTCTGTTGGATTGTTTTCTCATTGGCAATTATAGAACATCTCCTAAATTTTATTTTCAAGTTTTTCATAATAATACAAGCATGACAAGTAAGGGTTGTTCCTAGACAAACATGCATTAGAACTCTGAAATTGTAGTGTCTTAGAGTTTTCATGAAGTGAAAGTTAAAAAGAATTCCAAAATTATAATATGCTGTGGATTCATCACTTTTTCGTGGTTTCTTACATTTGTAGTTTAGTAAAAGCTTACATACTAGCCTAAGGAGAATTTGTACGTAACTATATTGAACGTTTTTGATTAGGTTCACCAATGAAATCTTCGAAAATTGATTTCCAACAAATATAAAACTGAATGATCTGCAGTAAATCTCTATAGATCTCTCTTGTTGCAACATTTTCAAAGTGCTTTCTGTTAGCCTAGGGGTCATCCATAATAATTGTCAATCATTTTCCAAAGTGTACAAAACGTACACTTGGGAGGAGGGGGTTAAAAAATCAAACATTTTTACCGTACACTTTTTTTTAATTTCTGGAATATTTTCGTTTCCACAGGGTTCAGTTTTTATTACCTCGATGAAGCTATTTATCATCTATGGGTTTGAAAATAATGTGAAATTGTACATTAAAAGTAGCATGTTTCAAATTATATGCAAGCATCACAGATACATGTCATACAATAAAACAGTTATATGATTCAGTTTATTTTTAATGCAAATTTCTATATTAAACTAAATTATAATTATGATAATAGACAGGATATTCTTTTTATTAAGAATGATTGATTATAGTCTAATATCTGAAAATGGTTGATGTACACTTTTTTGAGGGAGGGTGGGGGTCTGAAAAAGTATATGTTTTGTACACTTTGGAAAATGGTTGACAATTAATATGTGGATGACCCCTTAATTTTAACAAATTTATATTCTGAAAAATTACACTAAACTAGATTATTACTTCTTATGGTGGTTCACTCTGCATTCAGAAGGTCACTTCCATATTGATTGAAGTTACCCTCTTTCCAGGCTTGTGTCTGGCAAGATTTTACATATCTTGGCTGCATTCCCCACCCACCACCACATTGCAAATTTCAGTCCAAGAGGAACCTTTTTTATACTGTTCACTTTAATAAAATTGCTGTGTAAAAATTAGTTAGATTTCTATTTATGTATTAATTGTAATTTATATAGCAAAATGATTACATAACTTTCCCATGTTTGCTGCCCACCTTTATTTTTTAGTCTGAAGAAACTATAGTGGTTTCAATTACTTTTTATTTTTACGGTTTTAACAAATTAAATGCTTGCCATTATTTGAAGAAATATTGTCACATGCAGACATAATTGATATTTTTAAAACATTAACCTGTTTAAATTAAAAAAGAATATGACTTATTCGCATATTTATCATTTACTCTATTTATAAATAACTTTTGTTCGAAGGAGAGAAAACAATCAGATTCATTTAATATCAGAATTTCCTGAAGGTGCTTGACTTAGACTGATGAAATAATGCAATACAAAATATGGCATGAAATGAAGTATGGAGAATTTTACACAGCAAGTAAACCCTTAAATGCCATTTACATCTTCTCTGAAACCACTGTTTTTAATACTTCTTCTTTGAAACCACTTTTTTTATTACACCTTTTTTGAAACAAAAAAATTAATTAATTTGCAATTTGAAAAAAAATTGGTATATTTTTGTTATATTGCCAGTCATTATGATTTTATTGTTGGTCCTTTTTTCAATTTCTGGTACTTTATTATTAAGTTAAATTATTTTATTATTTTTTCAGTCTTTATTTATATAAGAATATTTTAAACTTAATTAACTCTTCAAAAAGAGAAATTATTAATGCACACAAGAACTGTGTACAAAACATTAACATCATGTTTAAACTTTATTAATGATTATAAACATTAAAATTAGTTATAAAAAAGCTAGAAATTTAGCAGAAAATTTATGAAATCCGAGATGAGAAGCTAAAACACTTGTCATAATTTAGTTCAAAATGGTACAGATCATAATAAATCACATGACCAACCCTATGGCCAACCTACCATGATACTGTTTCCTATACACATTTTAGATGACCAGATATTTTAACCATCACCTGGATACCTAATAAAATGGCAAAGATTAACATTACCTTTTTTAGAAAGGAAAATAATAATATTACCATGATGACTACAGTGCATGTCAGTGTGACATTATTGAGTCAAGTCATATCCATTAATTGTTGTCAAATCCAGTGAATTGCTATGTCATATCCAGTAAATTATGTTATCATATCCCAGGGGTGTCTGGTACTGAAAGGCCAATGCATCATCCAGCCTGCCTATGCTTTTATCTAGCAAGTCTGTATAAACGTCTCCTTCTAAATTCTAGATACAGGGTGGACTTGGTATTTCATGATTTTTGTGTCTCTTTCAACATTTCCTATTGAGCAAAGATTGGAATATGGGTTTAGCGTAGAAAAACCCACACTGACCCTTAATTCTTTCAGAACCCTATCAATGACTTTTTCCTATTATTTTAAGAATGAAAGGTAAAGCGCGGAACAACCACACTGACCCATGGTATACTAGTCATATCAAATGGTTTAAGGAAGGACTCTTAAATTCAGATGTTGTCTTTATAACTTGTTTAAAAATACTTGTCCCGTTGCATGGATGTACTTGTCCTATTGGTTGAACTTCGAATTTCCGCACCCCTGGGATTATCGAGTAAATCATTGTCATATCCAGTATATTTTTGTGTCATATTAGTTAAATTTCTGTCATATCCTGACAGTGATATCATCCTGATGTTATTGGAAACTTGGTATAAATCTCTGGTTGTACTCATGGCGGTAACCTAAGTACAGGTAATGAGGCCTGATACTGTATTCACTGTTTTGAAAAAAAGAATTTAGGAAAAAGCTTCTAACCATGCTTATTATTGAACCAAACTGGAATTGAACATTCTCATTATAGTCTTAAACCTAAAATATTTGAAAATTGTATTTGAATCAAACTTGCAATTGTATGAAACTATTTTAAAATCTGACATGTACTTGACTTCAGTTCCCATTTTTTACACCAATGAGTCTCAATATTACATTCTTGATAAGGTTTTTCTGCAGATTTATAGATATGCAGTCTCCTGGACTTAATTACAAAATATATTAATTTCAAACAGTTTATACTGAAGATGTCAGAATACAGCTACAGCCATGTTTGTCTATTGAAGAGGTCCCCTTCATAAATCCTTTCATATTAACCACAAGGTCTATTTAAAAAACAGGGGCAGGCTTTGTAAATGAATGTAGTTGCAACAAGGTTTTAGTAAATGCTCCTATCGAAGGTCAAATTGTGACTAAGGTTCACATGGAAGAGCAGCAATTAAAACGGTTCTGATTTTCCATTTGTTTTGTCTTTTTGTAATTGCCTGTTGTTTACATGGGATGCTGTCTGCCATATTTTTTGATATTTTGCTTTAGCACAAATCAGGATATAGATTTACTGGTTTGAATCATTTCTCAATTTGTTCACGCCAGGTTCAATTGTATCTTGCTTCTTAGTATAGGTTTTGCTCATTGCTAAAGGCCCTCCTGAACAATGATCTAAAATTACATTCTAGTCTGTTTGTATGGCTATCTGAGGAATAATTGTGTCATTTGCAATTATATCACATTTCCTTATTTTTTGTCTCCTATTTCATACTGTATAAATTTTCCAGCCCTAATATTATATATAGTTATACATCAGCAGTAGGAATTATTCGGAGGATTCAACACACATATTCAGTTATGGTAGTTTGTAATTATCCATTGTTTGAAAGTGTTGCCAGGGTACCCTCTAAACAACCTGCCCCCTTCCCCTTTTTTATGTTTTTTGCCTTTATGAAAATAGCCTTATGATCCAAGCCACTAAGGGTGCACATTTATATAAAAATATCCAGTGCACCATTTTACATATTAAAGTGCTCATTATACAATTTTATGATTGATCAATTCACTATTAAATGTACATTAACATGATTAATGTAGCGGTTACTGAGTATAAAATAAAGCAGGGTTCATATTCGTATGAAATTAACATGTTCTAGTTCTTATATGCATGTGATATTTGCCACTTGATGTTAAATACCTGCCAACATGGCCAAGAGGCTAAAACAATATATAATTTATCTGAACTTAAACCCATTACATTTGTTTGCACCGGTCCTAAGTCAGGAACCTGATGTTTAGTAGTCGTTTGTTGATGTGGTTTACAAGTGTTTCTTGTTTCTTGTTTTTTAGAAAGGTTAGACCATTGGTTTTCCCGTTCAAATGGTTTTACAAATGTCATTTTTGGGGCCCTTTATGGCTTGCTGTTCGGTGTGAGCCAAGGATCTGTGTTGAAGACCTCACTTTGACCTATAATTACTTTTACAAATTGTGACATGGATGAGAGAGTTGTCTCATTGGCACTCAAACCACATTTCTTGTATTTATTGAAATATAAATTCAAAGTGTATGATACATAACTGACATAACTTGCGTATACACTGGATGTTTTTAAGAAATAACTATAGTTAAATAGTAAAAAAGGTAGTATATGTAGAATTTAGAAAATAGTTTTTTCTTAAATTTCTTGTGCTGCACAGTGACCAATAGCTGCTAACTTCTAAACGTATGTCCTTTTGGTCAATTGTAGATAAATGTATCATTGGCAATCATACCACATCTCCTTATTTTATAACTTAAGTAGGTATGGCATTTTGTAAAATTATTTTATATGTAACATTTAAGAATTATTATGTAGTGCACTGGACATTAAAAGTAGTACATTCACCAGTGATCAAGCAGCTTTTGAGCAATCTCCTTGTCAGCTAACAAATTCTCCCGGTTCTCCTTTCCATCATCTTTTGTTGTCTCTTCTTTCAGGGCAAAATATTTCTTGCTGACCTGAATCTGTAGCTTGGAGAAAGATTGATCAAAAGCCGATATAAAGGATTTATGACCGGGGTGTTTTAGCTTCAATTCCCTGTACTTAATGCAGTCTTCCACATCTGATGATGGGCCAAGTAGTTGGACAACCAGGTCGAATGTTGTCTTCTTTCTACGTGATGCTGAAGCATAAAAAGGTATATACTTAGTAAAATTATACTGAATTTTCACGTACATCCCTTCTTACAAGTATTTTTTTTTTTAATATTTTTTTAATTCAGTCAAACTAGAAAAATAGCTACATAAAAATGTATGTTTTATTCCTAAAATATTAGATGCTGCTGCATGCAGTGAGTAACTTAGTCTGCATACTAATAATAATCTTTAATTTAGCACACAACTTGTAGCAATATTGATTAACAACATGCATTATATTAATTTTGTATTACAAATTTTATTTAGAAATAACTCTTCAGAAATGTCATTTCACTTCTTATTTTGCTCTTATTAACTTATTACCAAAGTTCAAGTAATAATATTACTACTTACCAAATTCTTGGTTGGAAATTTCAGAATCAAATAATTTCCTTTTGCATGATAGTGGTTTATTAGCTGAATTTTACATAGAAACAACATAGAAGAAAATTATTGGCTTCGATATATCTGATCAGTATTAGAAAATGAAGATTGTGTAACCTACCTGGTAATGGTTTTGGTTTGGTGATCAGGTTTTCATTGGCATCAGTGCTGTTATGTTGTACAGCTCATCTCAAAACTGAAATTAAAACATATTTTATATATATCCTGTATATCTGAATGATGTGGAGGTATAAGAATAGAAAGAAGTGTTATGATTGCCAATAAGATATCTCTACACTAGAGACCAAATCAACACAGAATTAAACAACTACAGGTCGCTATACTTCATTCAACAAAATTTGTTGGTCAACAAATCTTGAAATGTTATTTTTTTTATGGTCAGGTATGACATTGAGATTGTTAATAATGATAATACTGTGATTGGAGGGATTTTTATCTTTTAATACTGTATGTAGTCTTCTAAATGTGTACAAATTAAATGAATCATTCAAAGATCTGCCATCCAAATCAAAATATGTAAATACCATATACAAAAATGACATACTACTTCAAACAACGATCAGGTATATCAGTTGTTCTGCCTATAATCATCATAATGAAATGTGTGGTTAGCAAAATTGTTTACCTTCAATGTAGGATTTGTACTTGTCCTTGGTTTCAGAGTTCTGTTGTTGTTTTCTTTGATGGTCAACTGCTAGTACATGTACTTCAGGTGGATCTGTTTTAAGGAAATGAAGGAATGTTTGCATATTTATTTATTTACATTTTCACCATGGGATTTATGCTTTTAAGATGTATAAGAAATTACATAATATTTCAATAACTGAGATCATATATAATATATATTAACTGTTGATAGTATACACTTCAATATTAAACGAAGAAGAAAAAAATGGAAAGAGAATTGACACAATAAAGGTAGACATTTAAAACCCATAAATCAAAACAAAGCTTGCAATTACATTAATTATAAATAATTCAATAATAAGGAAAACTGTTGACTTTATTTTTTTGAAGAAGTATATATTATGTTTTATTTCCTGTAATTTTCAGGAGAAGCTTACCAGAATGACGAGAGGGTTTCACTTTCAGAAGTGTACACCCTTCCTCCATGGCATTGCTGACCTCATCATTTGAATCAGTAAATTCATCTACTGGCAGATGACTAGAGTCCCTAATTTGATCCATTGGTTCGTCTTTGGTAATTGTAATAGCTGCAAAAAAGGTAAGTGCTTCTCTCATTAATCATGATCCAAATTTTCTCTTGCTTTAATATTAAAAATGACTGACTTGTAACTAATGCAGGACATGTATGTACATGTAAATATAAAAAAGAAGATGTGGTATGATTGCCAATGAGACAACTCTCCACAAGAGACCAAATGACACAGAAATTAACAACTATAGGTCACCGTACAGCCTTCAACAATGAGCAAAACCCATACCGCACAATCAGCTATAAAAGGCCCCGTAATGACAATGTAAAACAATTCGAACGAGAAAACTAACGGCCTAATTTATGTAAAAAAAACGAACAAAAAACAAATAATTATGTAACACAAACAATCGACAACCACTGAATTACAGGCTCCTGACTTGGGACAGGCACATACATACAGAATGTGGTGGGGTTAAACATGTTAGCGGGATCCCAACCCTCCCCTAACCTGGGACAGTGGTGTAACAGTACAACATATTATGGGAAAAATGTACCCATTTTATGGGAAAAAATCACATTTGTTGATCATTAGTTTTTTAATAAACATGTAGCTTGAATGGGTCATCTCCTTCTAATAATAATGATTTTTACATCGGATGACCGTGATTGTATGTATATATTTATTCAAATTTAATAATACTATGATATTATTACGTGAGTATTTCTGTATTGGCCTTGTTATTGGTCCGAGGCTTGCTGTATTGGCCTGAGGCAAAGCCTAGGGCCAATCCCAGCTGGCCGAGGACCAATAACAAGGCCAATTCAGAAATACACGTAATAGTATCTTTATTAATTAACTACAGTGTTACAATATTTTTTTTATTTCATTTCACAAGAGATAAACATTTTTACCTTGAAGTGGAACTATCCAAATCTCAGTTTCTTTTTATAAGATGCAATATCTAATGATCTGGTGCAGTTTCCAGGTGTCTTCAGCATTTTGTCATCTGATGAATTTTTCTACCCTTTCCAGTCACTATAAAGTGTTACAATTTAAATTTAGACGCAACACATAAATAGTAATTGGAAAGGTACTGCCATTGCATGTGTTATGCAGAAACAAATTGAATATATTTAAAAAAAAATAATGTAGACAACTATCCATAAGCCAACTGACCAAAGAACGAAGATTTGCACAATTACAGGTCACCCTTCCAGAATGCATATGCCTGGTTCGGGTTTAAAAATAAATGACAGTTTACAAAACATAAGAAGCGAAAGTAAACAGTAAATCGATTTGTACAATCGTAAAATTATGAGGTCGACAAGAAATGAACTTTGTGATAATCTACTCGTTCCCCAAACCTGAAATAATTCCATCGTCTGCTTTCAAAATGCTTTTTAAATGAATGTGAGCGTCTTTAGCCTGAAATATATGCCATACTGAACGTTTCAGCATGTTTATGGTGAGTAAATGAAAACTGCGTCTTCCAAACAACTGTTTACTTTCAGTTTGTGTGTGTATCGTGACTTTCGATCTAAAAACTAGAGACGTTCCGAAATCCTGTATTGGCCGGATCAGAACTCGGCCAATACAGAAAAAAAATCTATATTGGCCGAGTTATTCTGTATTGGCCGAGTTGACACCTTTATATTGCATAGGCAGTTTTCATCATATTAAGTCCAATAACAGTGTAGTTAATTAATAAATATATATAAATGATTCTTTGGTACCATAATTTTACCTTCATAATCTTGTCTGTCAGGCTGGTAACTGATGGTGATATCTGATGCATTGTCTTCTGTAAAAGAGAAATTTATAGATTATAAAAAAAATGATGCATGTTAGCAGTGCACAAATATATACTTTTAGAAGAATAAAACAAATATTCCTTTTATTTAATGTATTCAAAAAACATATTATGAACATGATGAAAGTACCTTTCAATGTGTGTTTTACACACCAAGACACATTTTTTGAATTTCCATCATCATCAAACACCTTCAGTTTTTTTAAAGGTAGCAGTAAATACCCACTTTCAAATTTATCGACTACCTTAGCCCAAGCATTTTTCAAAATTTGTTCCTCGTCTTTCAGGCCAGATGATCTGAAATGGTGAAGTGGAGGTCCCTCAGGTCTTGAGGAGGGATCATTTGGGCCATCAAAAAAGACCAACCCTCCATTTTCGAAAGACCACCAGACATCTTGACCCTGCAACATGAAATCTGCAATTCTCTCCAGATGGCATTGTACAAAGGAAGGTCGCTTATTGATTAGTTCTGCTGAAAATGTAGATCTTGGTCTTTCTGGCAACAGCCTTGCCTGCCTACTTATTGTTGAATCCTGTAATTAAATGACTCTGGTTTATCAGGTGCGTTCTGCTGACTATTGAACCTTAGCATAGCATTGTCAGCAATACATTTGGGTTGTCTGTTGGTCGTCATTTCCGAAATTCTTCTTAAGTCGCCAAAACATCTTTCCTCTTGTTCAGTGTGAACAGATCGTAAAGAGAAAATTCTAAAAGTGTTGGGAAGATGGACTGTGACACTATGAAAATGACTGCCGTAAAACTTTCTAGACGTCATTTTTAATGGTTTTCCAATGACATTCCTGCATACTATACCAAATATTAAAGCCTGATTGAAAATTCTTAAAATCATCTTAGGTGTTCTTGATTCACTGGGAAGGTATGAAATGTTAACAATTTCAACAAGGGAATTTATAAGCTGCATAATGTTGTCCTCTATTTTTTATTTTTCCATTACCATGTAAATCGGATGAAACTGGGCCAATTTAATTAAAAACAGACGAGCATCTGATCCTTTGATCTGGTTTTTGTCACCAATTGTGCTGTTTGAAAAATTTGAAAACTGCTTTTGAACGGATGAATCAGAGATATGAAACGGTAACTCTGTAATTACGTTTTGGATTACATTCGTTAAATCATGTAGGGGTTCACAGCCAAGAATTTCATATTTTCCAATGTTTAGATCTTGTGATGTCAGGTGTAGACTGTTTGTCATCAATGCTGGTGGTCTACAAATACCATGCAGTGTCGTAGTCAAAATAGCTTGAAGGTCTGGTTTAAGGGAACAGTCAAAATCAATTTTCCTGCAGTCTAACTCTGTCATGATTTCAACTTTTTTCAGGTTTTGATAGGGGTTTGGACAGCCTTTTTTCAATTTCTGTAGGGAATTTGATGAAGTGGCCAACCTGCATCTGTCATCCAAATCTTGAGCGGAAACATGGAAGCAATGGAGTAGATTGGTATGTTGTTCAGCATGAACTCCACAAAGACATGGGTAATTTCCCCCTCGTTGTTGACCACCTTCAAACTGCCTGGCAGGTCCATCTCCGCTAAAAAGTCGTAAGCAGTCCTGTATTTCGTAGTCGTCATGTTTGATTGGGGTGTCTATATCTTCCAAGTCCTCCATTCTAGTTTCTACATATGTCATTTGTTCTTCATCTTTACAACCTGCATTTAATATTTGAATGAATTAATTTTATAAGTGGCATCATGGACAGGTCTCCAAGTTTTTTTTTTGGGGTTCAAAAATTAATAAAATCATAGATTCTGAGTTCTACATTCTTTTTCTTGTGCATGTTTTATTTATTTTTTGTGGGGGGTGAGGGGGGGGGGGGGGGGTTGAAGGGGGATTTAAGCTTTGCTCACAGAACCATTAGTAACGCAAAATTAAATAGCCGTGAAGTGGCCTAGAAATGGTAAAACACGAAATAAAGTAGTTCACTGTTCAATGTATTTTTGAGGTGTTTTTTTTATTATTATGTTGGTGAATTAAATGTCTCGAACGAACAATTAAGCAGCTAACATATATTTTGGTATGAATTAAAATTTTGATAAATTTCACAATAAGAAGTGATTAAATACAGGAAATTTAGTGTCCATTGTTAACAATTTCTTTTAGGGGGAACATGTGTGGATGTATACTATTTATGTACTATATGATTTATAAAAATGTTTTATCTTGTACAATCATTTTTTTCAGCATCACGATAAAAAGAATATCCGGCAATAAATGGAATACAGATTTTCTATATAGGACAATGACGGAGCAGGTAATTTTTTTTATTTTACAGCAAAATGCCTAGAGTGTGTAGGTAAAGGTAGTATAATATTTGGTTAGCTTGCTTGCTAGCTGTACCATGAAGTCATTATTAAGTAACTTAAATGTGATTCTTCCGGCGGGAGTCAAAATCTCCCGCTTTACAGACCCTCTTCCGTCCCGCCCGTTAAAAATTGAAATCTTCCGCTTTTTGAAAATGTCAACCTCGAAAAATTTTCAGTAGACATTTTTGTTTACAAAATTGATACTGACAGAGAAAAAGTCCGAGAAACTCGAAATTGATATGGGAAAAGTCCGAGAAAAACCTTATTGATTTTGTGTCAAAAGGTAAACATGTAATTAGTGCAGTAATCAGACTAGGATTAGACTGTATATACAACAATAAAAGATGATTGACAATTACCTGGTGATCAACTAGCTAGTTTAAGACACACGCCTAGATGATTAAAAGTGAAATACTGACAATGGATTGAGTTGTATAAACAACGACTTTAATTTGATGCTGTTGAAAACATTGAACAGTTACATTATATTACTGAACCTCAAAGACAAATAAAATCAACTCAGATATGATATTTATGGCTTGTTTTCTATCCAAGCCAATGGAATACCTATATAAGTATGTTTGTCTTGGACAATTCTAAAATTTTATAATTTGACAAAATGCAAACCGTATGTTATCACAAAATACCACAGCAGCAAATTAAAAAAGACCAAGTATCTAGTCAAATTCAACTCTGACTGGAGATATGATTTTAAATGGTGCAAGTCCAGTGCCAACGGTCAAGACCATGCATGCTACACCTCTTGCAAAGCTGACTATGGTGGCCCTAATGACTTAATCAAACATATGGAGATAACTACCCATCAGAAAGTCCACAACTCTACCAATT